AGATGTATAAATTAGGCCCTAATAGTAGGAAAATTCTGGGGAGAAGTGTATTATAAGGAGTTGTTTTTCATCTAAGGTCTCAGATCCAGGTTGGTATATTATGAGGACCTTTGTAAGTCAGTGTAGGAATTGAGATGGGATTTCATATTTGTCCTAAATGACCACTTGGATTTTTTCATGATTTACCACTTTAAGGGAGGCCTTGTGAAGACCAGCCAGGATGCAAGTTGCAAATTAATCTCTAGCAAGGATGCCCCATTTGTTTACTGTAATTCCATTCAGGGTTGCTGGTTGGTAACATCCTCAGTCCTGATTGGGTGGGCAGCCTGTTGCTGAGGAGGGAGATGGGGATGCTAGAGAGGCTGGAGAGGAAGGTGAGGGACTGTGGGCTGAGGCTTGTTAGTGTGATTGAAAATAGTGGCATCATCTGGTTTAGGCCGCACAGCTAGATGAAGTTTTTTTTTCTTGGTTGGCTTATGTCATGTGGGCACTTTTAATCAAGCTGGGTATGAGTGACATGACGAAATCATCCTTTCCAACCCTAGAAAATATGACTATCAGACACCCAAATGAGGGGACAACAGCTAAGATGACAGCAAGCCACATGTTTCTTTTAAGATTACCTATGTATAGCTTTTTAACTACCAACTCTGGTGTTATTATGATGGTAAAAATAAAATGGTTCCGTTCCCTGGGTGGGGGGCAGCAGGCGACTGTGGGTAGTTTAGGGCAGTGGCAGGTAGGAAACCACAGGGGTTCAGCCAGTTTTACAAAGAGCCACAGTATCTGAGAGACAGAAACGGATAGACACACTATGCAGAGAAAATGGGTATTTATTTAGTGGGTTATGGAAGGGTTGGGAAAAGGGGAGAGGAAGGGAGAAGGGGAAGAGCAGAGAGAGAGGGGAAGAGAAACGAGGGGAGAGAGGAGAAGAGAAGCTGCTTTGGGAGAGAGAAAGAAAGGAAGGAGCTCAGGTTGAAAGCAGAAGGAAGATTCACTGCCTTGATGGGCAGGGAAGGAAGTGGACAGGGCTTGTCTCTTAAAGGGACAGGACAAACCATTACATTCCCGCCTCTTTCTTATAATAAAAAGGCAGGAGGTTAGGCACAATAGGTTAAAGGAATTGGGACGGCGGATTCTCAAGACTTCCTCCTGCTTATATGTGGGTATCATCCTGGGGTAGGGGAACCTAAGAAAGCTGGGGACTGGTCATATCCTGGCGTAGCTGGCCTCTTTGCTCCTGTCTGATGTTTGTGGTATGGAAATCTCTGGTCTCTCTTACACCCATTTAAGGTATTGGCAGAACAGAGGACAAAGTTACATTTAGGGGAAAAAAAATTAGGACCAGGGAATTGAGAGGGGTATATCTGACCTGTTTAAGGTAGATCCTTCAATTCGGCTCCCTGAAATTCACAAGATTTTTTGGGTTTGTGAAAACCCAAGTTTTAGCTGTCAGACTACATCAGAGATCTTTGAGAAGGATAAAATTTTACTTGAGTTATTTATTTAAAAATGACAGAGAACTTACTTGGTTAGCACCTAGAGCTACTCCTTAGGGTCCTCCATGGTCACAGAGGGTTGTATTTGCCTTCTGCTGTTTAGTGCAGGGCCTGCCAGGCTCCAGAAGATTCAGTGGGCTAAGAAAACTGTAGGAAGGCAAGCCTACCCTGACTTAAACATCTAGGCTGTCAATTCCAGTGACTCTGTCCACTGTCTGGAGATCTTCAGTTTAGATGAAAGGCAGTTTTTCCCAGTGGTCAGTGCTTTGCAGTTGAAGCGTATTGCGGATGGATGTTATTTTGTGCCCATTTGTCTTCTGTCTTCTTTGGAGGAAATAGAGTGCTGCTGCTAGGAGCCAGCCTCTCTTTTTGTTGTGAAAAGTCTTTTAATAGTTAAATATTTAAATGTCATATTCCCCAGATCTTTAAGCAGTTGAGAGCTATTTAACGGATATAGATGAGTTCTAATTATAGAATCTGCCTAGAGAGCTGGGTCTGTGCTCGACTGTACTGGCTCTAACTTAACAGGTAAGATTTACACTTATAAAACACAGAAAGAAAAAACTGCTTGCAATAGAAGGTTAACAGCAGAACTGACAATAGTAGAGAACAGCTTAATATATATTATACTGTATTTTTGTAAGAGACTTAAAAGTATATACCAATTTAAATCATGAGGCTTATTGTTTTTATAGTCTGAAATGAGATACAATGAGCAGACAATTATAACATTTAACAGTAAACATATGTATATTTAAGTTACATGTATGCACACATACAGTGAACAGGAATTGGGCGAAGAAGAATATTGGGCGTGCTACTGCACAAAACACACATGTAACAGAGTCAGCTCTGGGGATCAGGCAGGGAATACCTCAGTAAAGCTGGAAGGACTTGGTTACCTGATCTGGCCCTCAGTTAAAATAGCAGTGAAGTCACCTGACCTCAGTTAAGATGGCAGTAAGGTCACCTCACCTTAGTCAAAATGGCGGCGGTCACATGTTGCATGGAGAAGCCACATTTTTTGAGCTGCAGGAATTTTAAACATAATAACAAGAGTGATCTAGAGGTATGATTCACCCTGTTGCCATGCCGATGCACCAAAACCTATGGTGGGGAACAAAGGTTAGAATTGTAAACAGCTGCCTGGAGGACCCAACTAATATTGTCAGTTTCCACAGGACCAGAGGTAGTGGTGGCCAGGATAGTTTGAGGAAAAGCAGAGCCAGCCTGACTCCAGCAGTATTTACAGGTGGGTGGCTGATAGTTTCAGGGTTTATATTCCATAGCTGAAAATGTGAAAACCCTTGAAAATAACAAATGAACACTGCAAGGCCTGTAGACGAACATCTATCTACAGGAGGGATGTTAATGAAGCTGACTAGCCCCAGTCCAGGCGAATGGGAAGCCAGAGGCTAGAGAGCAACGGCTCTACAAAGCCTATGGGAAAATGTCTTTTCTCTACAGGTTGGGTGTTGATGAACCTGACTGTGTGTTTTGTGCAGTGGCATGCCTTTGGTAGGGCCGACCAAGAGCATCTACTTCATCCAATTTCTGTTCACTCTGTGTGTATGTGTTCATACATGTAATTTAAATGCACCTATGTTTACTGTTGAATGTTAAAATTGTCTGTTCATTGCATCTCATTTCAGACTACAAAAACAATAGGTCTCATATTTTAAATTGGTATGTATTTTTAAGTCTATTACAAAAATACTTTCTATTTAATCCAACCCTCATTTAAAATATATTAAGATGTTCTCTATTATTGTCAGTTCTGCCGTTAACCTTCTATTGCAAGCAGTTTTTTCTTCTTGTTTTATAAGTATAAATCTTACCTGTTAAGTTGAAAGCTAGTACAGTCAAGCTTGGGCCCAGCTCTCCAGGCAGATTCTATACTGTAGCTATACCTGATAAACGGCCCTCAACTGCTCAGAGTCTAGGGAATGTGGTGTTTAAATATTTAATTATTAAAAAACTTTTTATAACAAAAAGAGTCAGGTTGGCCCCTAGCAGCAACACTCTTATCTCTTTCAAAGAAGACAGAAGACAAATGGGCACAAAATAACACCCATCCACAATTTGCTTCAACTGCCAAGCGCTGACCACTGGGAAAAACTGCCTTTCATCTAAACTGAAGATCTCCAGACAGTGGACAGAGTCACTGGAATTGACAGCCTAGATGTTTAAGTCAAGGTAGGCTTGCCTTCCTACAGATTTCTTAGCCCACTGAATCTTCTGGAGCCTGGCAGGCCCTGCACTAAACAGCAGAAGGCAAATACAACCCTCTGTGACCATGGAGGACCCTGAAGAGTAGCTCTAGGTGCCAACCAAGTAAGTTCTCTGTCGTTTTTTAATCAATAACTCAAGTAAAATTTTATCCTTCTCAAAGATCTCTGATGCAGTTTGACAGCTGAGAGGTTTTGTCAGTTTAAAAGGACAACCTCATCAAACAAATTTCAGCAAATTAACAAATACAAGTTATTAAGGTGTGTACCTGCAGGTTATAAAGGTATGAGGACAAGTGCATGCTGTTAAATTTCTCTCCTGCTGCCTTTCATAGTCTTAAAGATACTTTTCATTGTGGAAAAATATCTGTCACAGTCATTTTGACATAAATATGCTACTGTTTATACAATGTATATATCTAAAACTTCTGTTTTCACAAACCCAAAGAATTTTTGTGGATTCCAGGGAGCCAAATTGAAAGATCCACCTTAAACAGGTCAGGTACACCCCTCTCAATTCTCTTGTCCTAATAATTTTATTTTCCAAAACTTAACTTTATCCTCTTTTCTGCCAATACCTTAAACAGGTGTAAGAAACACTAGACATTTTGTTACCACAAATTTCAGACAGGATCAAAGAAACCAGCTATGCCAGGTTCTGACCAGCACCCAACTTTCTCAGGTCCCCCTCAAAGACGATGCCCACAAATAAACAGGAAGCAGTCTTGAGAATCTGCTGTCCTAATTTTTTTAACCTGTGGTGCCTAACCTCCCGCCTTTTTATTATAAAAAAAGAGATGGGAATGTAATGATATGTCCTGTTCCTTTAAGAGACAAGCCATGACCACTCCCATCCCCCTTCTGCCAAGCAAGCTGATCTTCACTTCCAGCTTGAGTTCCTTCCTTTTCCATCTCCCTCTCGAAGAGGCAGCTTCTCCCCGTTTCCTCTTCTTTCTCTCTGCCTCTCTGCTCTTCTCTTCTCCCCTTCCTTCCGTAACCCACTAAATAAATATCCAACCTCACCCTGCATGGCATTCCAATCCATGTCTCTGTTTCTTGCCTGCCGCGTGGCTCGCTGCCCAGAACCAGCCACCTTTGGAGACCTGTGCTGTGTCCTCGTGGTGTACCCCATCTGTCTGTCTTTCCTTGTGGTCTTAGGTGTTATCTGTGCCTGGGACTGGCTTTTCTTGTGACCCCTCTGCTTGCTGTCTGCCACCACATAGTTCATGGCCTACCGCCGGGGATCCTCAGCATTTTACTTTTACCATTACAGGTACCTCTACCTCCAAGAGTGCCAGAGAAGTACCAGATGCTCAATGGTCACTTTCTCAGATTGGGAAATGTTTACACCAACCAAAGGGGAAACTTATGTAATTGCCACTGGTGAATGGGATACCAAAAGATTGGTGAGCCTGAAGGTGAGTCTGTTGTGGGTGGACTGGAGATGAAGCTAGGGTCCCAGTGAAGCTTAGACCCAGAAGGGAAATGCAGGCAGTAGGAAAGCCTATCCCAGGTTTCAGCAAAAAATGTAAGCATTACATCTCTGATGGGAAGGTGACTTGGCAATGAGAAGCCAAAGAGTACCACAATATCACAGCACAAAACAAACTTCACAAAAGAGATTTATTGGGAGAGAAAAAAAACCAATGGAGGGGCTACCTCTACTTGAGTGAGAAACAGCAGAGAACTGAGCAAAAGGTAGGTCTTATATAGAATTTCTTCTGGGTGGGGTGAGGAGTGAACCTTTTCAGGGTGCAACTTTCCAAGGTGGAGATTGGTAGCATTTTGCATGTAGAGTTTGGGCCTTTTACTCTCTTGGGTGAAGCCTGGGTGCTGCCATTAGGACATTTAGAGTATTCTGTGAGTAGAACCTGGCAGTAGGAGGTCTTCAGGGGAGGGGCCTGGCCTCTCCTGTGCCTCAAGTGTCTTACAAGGAGTTTCTGAGGGAAGGGAAGCCCATGAGCTGGAGGGAGTTTAGGGTAGAGGAGATGAGAAGGACTAGGATGCTAGTGTGGACTTTGAAATTGAAATATAAAAAAGGTACAAGAGATATTGAAGGAACCTGAGACCAGCATGTTCTTTTGATATGCTGATAGGTAGCCATATGTTCCTTCTCCCAGAGGTAAGGGAAATGACAGATGGGAACCGGGTTAACAATTCCTGATGGATGCTGGCTTTTATCTAGCTAATACAATCCTCAGGTTGAGCTCATTTCTGGACTGCCTTTTATAGTTTGGGAAATTGGAGTTCCTTTAGACAGACAATCATGTTATAATAGAGTTATAGGCAGAAGCCTCCTTCAATTCAAAGCTAGCCAACATTGTGAGGCCCTGTCTCAGAATTGATCTCAATTTATTGTAGCAACTTTTTTTAGCATTGCCTTATGAAGATCTTATACGTAAAACTGCTTTGTTTATTTGCTTGTTTATTTGTCTTATTTGTAGAGACAAGGTTTCTCTGTGTAGCTTTGACTGTTCAGTAACTTGCTCTGTAGACCATGCTGGCCTCCAATTCAGATCCACTTGTCTTGTCCTCCAAAGTGTCGGGATTAAAGGAGCTACTCTTTAAGTTTGGCATTGATTTTGGAGGGTAGGAATGTTCTAGACAGTATGAACTTCAAGTGAACAAGCCTGTTTCTATATTGAATGAAAATGGGTGCAGGAAAAAAAAGTAGCCACTCTTTGGGGGTACTGGGAGGTGGGAGTTATTTCAACACGTCAAGACTGCCTCCCAGAAAGCAAGGTGAAAGGACAGGAGAAAGATTTCCAGGGTTAAATGGGAACTAGAGAACTGAGGCTTGTGAACTGGGGTGGGGCTTGTGTGCGCTGGAAGGAGGGGGCCTAGAGGCTAGCAGTTACCTTGACAAGTTAAAGGAAAAGCCACAAATTCTAGACCTTTCTTTAAGCCTCTGAGGGAATGGTGGCCTTTGTCTAATTTGCCTGACCTTGGGAAAAGGACATTTTTTAAGAGACCAGAGTGCAGTGCATTCTGTATTCTTAGGAATACTGTTTAATCTGAACCTCAACTTGCTTATTGTTTTGCAGAAAGCATTGTCAATAACAGTCTTGAAGAGTTATTATCAGGACTGGAGAGATGTCTCAGAGGTTAAGAGCATTGCCTGCTCTTCCAAAGGTCCTGAGCTCAATTCCCAGCAATCACATGGTGGCTCACAACCATCTGTAATGAGGTCTGGTGTCCTCTTCTGGCCAGCAAGCATGCACACAGACAGAATATTGTATACATAATAAATAAAATAAATATTTTTTAAAAAGTTATTATCAACAGTGAGTGAGGTAACCACGGAGATTATCCAAAGTCCTAATGATACAGACTGGGGATTAAAGAAATAAAAGGGCAGGGAAAATCTCAAGGGCAACAGGTAGCAGCTGAGAAATCTCATACAGGGCTCAAACAGGAGCAGACAGAATCATCAGTAGTTGAGGAAAGGCATTTATAGGGGGTGAGGAAACACATGTATGCAGCAGACACACAGAGAAAAAGATCCTTTGTCAAGCCAAAACTTTTGTCTCTTCTCAAGTCTGGGGAGCTTACAGTCTCTGAAGGGTTTTCTTCTCCTAATTTTTTCCACCAATCCTAGGATCCTCTCCCTCCCCTCCCCCTGACTCCCCCACCTTCCCTCCACCCCACCCATTCCTCAGAGAGGGTGAGGCCTCCCATGGGGAGTCAACAAACTCTATCAAGACATTTGAGTCTGAAAGACCCCCAGTGCTGGGGAGACTCTCACTCAAGTCTCGGAATAACATGACCCCCTCAGTAACTCATGAGAGACCATCCTTGCTGCAATCACACGAGGCTTTAATGATGAGATGAGATGGGAACCAGTGCACTGGGGCCGAGACTCATAACCCACGCAGGGGAAGAGTTCAACCCCAAGTGACCCGGAGAAGGAGTTTTTAAGGGAAGAAACCACAGCCCAGTAATCCAAAAGGGTCATAGAAAATTCCGAAAATCCAGTGATGGTCACAAGGGGGCAACTCCCTGCCTCTCAGGACCACTCCCAAGGTCATAATCAGCTAGTTCCTAAAACACAGTACAATGATAATCACAAGGATGAAACTCCCTGTTTCTCAAGATTATTCTCAAGATTACAATCTAACTTTATCTTCAGCTAGTTTCTGAAACACAGTCACTGAACCAGCTAATCCTAGATTTTTGATTCTTCTCTTCCTGCTGGAGGGGGGTCTGGATTTATCCAGGTCTCTCAAGGCAGGAGTCAGTTTGAATAAAGATAGGATGGTTGGTTGGCCTATAACTATTGTGTAACCTGTCTTGATCATCTTGAACTTGTGAGACAGTCTATCTTCTGACTGACACAAAAGCCTATATAGGGCCTTTGTTTTAAGCTTCCAGGCTTTCTCCCAAGTCAGAAGGGTGAGGAAGGGACCAGCCATCTTGAAAATTTGCTGCCTTTATTACCTAACCATGACCCCTCTCCCTATCTCTTGGTCTAACTCCTAGTCTCTTACTGGTACTGTCAGGGTTGTATCACTAAGCAACTACAGAAGTTCTAACCATTTGTTTGTCTGCCAATGTTTACTGCTTAACAGAAGTGGAATATATATATATATATATATATATATATATATATATATTGTTATTCAGTTTATTGTATAAAATTCCAGAATTTTTAATTTAGGTATGAATGTAGATGCTGAATTTAAACTATTATTATTGTTAAAAGTTCTCTTCATACATACCCTCTCTTCTTTGTGTACTAATATATTCCATGTTTCTCCCTCCAAAACAAATATATATACGTAATATATATTTAGGGGGCTGGAGAGATGGCTCAGAGGTTAAGAGCATTGCCTGCTCTTCCAAAGGTCCTGAGTTCAATTCCCAGCAACCATATGGTGGCTCACAACCATCTGTAATGGGGTCTGGTGCCCTCTTCTGGCCTGCACGCATACATGGAAGGAATGCTGTATACATAATAAATAAATATTTTAAAAAAAACTAGAGAAAAAAATATATATATTTAATTTCTAAGTACCTACTTACTCGTACCTTGACTTTGTTGGATTTCTTAAAAGAATAATTGAGGGACCAAAGACCAAAGAGCTGGTTTAGTGGATAAAGCACTTGTCATGCTAGCATAAGGAATTCAGTTTGTATACCTATCTTATGTGAAGTGGGTCTATAATCCTAGTGCTCCTAAAAAGACATAGGAGGTAGAGATAGGACAATCCCAAGAAGCTAGTGGACCAGCTAGCCCAATGTACACAGTATTGAATAACATGAAACTCATCTCCCAAAAGGTGGAAGTCAAGAGAGGAATACCTGAGTCTATCCTACTCTGGCACAGGCATACCACCACCACCATCAACATAAGCAAAAAAAAAAAAAAAAAAAAATTTTTTTTCTACAAACTATTCCCATTTCATTTAAACCCATTTTAATGTTCTTCACCTCACTCCTAATTCCTCAGTGGTATTCTTTTCCTTTTTTTTTCGAGACAGTGTTTCTTTGTGTTCCTTTGGAACCTATCCTGGACTCTCTCTGTAGACTAGGCTGGCCTTGAACTCACAGAGATCTGCCTGTCGTGCCTCCCAAGTGCTAGGATTAAAGATGTCCACCACCGCCTTCCAGCTCAGTAGTTCTTATTTATGGCTTTCCTTAAAAGAGGCCGTGTTAAAGATATCAGACTTCAGGTGATTCCAGCCATAGTTAGACTCTCTACAGTTCTGTGAAAACCCAAGCAAGAAGCTCCAGTTAAGCCCTCAGTACCCTTGAGAGGACTAAATTGTTCTAAGCCACTGGGAATCAGGGGATTTTAAGGCAATGAACCACAAGAGAGATACTAGAGAATCAGTTTCCCTATTTCTCTGATTTCCCAAGTTTTCAGTCTTCCTTCCTGTTTTAGTTCTTAATTTTTGGTGTTAATTTTTTTGTGTGTTTGGACCTGAGTTTATTATTTAGGGAGTTAATGATTCTCTGGCCTCCTGATGGCCTAAATATAAGGTACATTCTTTACCTTATATTTAGAACACCTTTTTACAGTATTACTAGTATTAGTATGCTGTTTTTTCTTCTGCTTTCAAATAGGTCACCTTTCTAATGATCATTGTGTTATGGTTTCTATTGCTGTTAAGAGACGCCATGACCACAGCAACTCATAATTGGGACTGGCTTACACTTAAGAGGTTTAGTCCACTTTTTTTTTATCATAATTGGAAGCATGGCAGTACACAGGCAGACATGGTGCTGGGAAAGGAGCCAGGAATCCCAATGGCTAGGCAACAAGAAGAGAGAATGACACTGGGCCTGGCTTGAGCATTTGAAACCTTAAAGCCCTTCTACCAGTGACATACTTCCTCCAACAAAGCTATAGTTACTCCAACAAGGTGACGCCTCCTAATAGTGCCACCCTTCATGAGCCGATGAGGGCCATTTTCAGTCAAACCATCATAGCCATAAATCAACTGATACCACTAAACTCTGGTGGCTTTTTTTCTTAAGTCAGTTCTTTTGTGAGGGTTTAGGTTAGAGTTAGAAGACATGAAGCTGGCATGTCAGCTTCAGCATTTTAGTCCTGATTTTTTTCCCCAAAAGATTATGCATAAAAGAACACAGACTGTATACTGTACCCTAAAAGAAGAACTGCTTCAGGAATAATACTTGTTTAATAACAATAAGATGAGGCATGTAGTGAAGGCCTAAAAAGGGTAGGCATTCATACAGCCTGTACAGTCAATCCTGTTACCATAGATATCAAGCCTTAATTATATATTCATCAATTCAAATAAGAAATTTATAAAAACATTTTTAAAGTAAGGTTTACTCTTATGTTATTGCTGCTATTGAATATTATAATTTCACACCATGAGTACATTTTTATGATTCATTTTATTTAGTATTAAGTGTGTGGCAAGCATGTGGATGTCAGGAGATAATTTTATGGAGTCAGTTCTCTTCTTCCACGTTTAAGTGGGGTCTTTGTGTGAACCTGATTTAGGTCACTAAGCTTGCAAGGCAAGAGCTCTTACCTGATAAGCTATTTTGCCAGCCTGAAGAGTGTAAATTAAGTCTGAAAAATTCATTAGCTTTCTACAACATTAATTTTTTTTATTCCAGTTTTAAGAACAGGTGGAATTGGATATGGCTAATTCATATGATTTCAATGAACAAAACTCATGGAATGGAATCTCATCTGAAAAGAAGAATTTCCTTGCATCAGAAGATCATGGACAGAAAATTTTAAGTGTACTACAGAGTTTTAGAGAACAGAATATCTTTTATGATTTCAACATAGTCGTGAAAGAAGAAATAATCCCATGTCATCGGTGTGTGTTGGCAGCTTGTAGCGACTTTTTCAGGTACTCTACCCCCATCTGTACTTTAGATTTTATATATGGAAAATTACATTGTATTTTACAAATATACTCACTGCCCCCTGATCATACTATAGTAATTTTTAGTTTTTAATTAAAAGCCTTTATTAGAACTAGTTGGTTAATAATGTTTGAATAGGGATCTTAAGCTTCAGCTGTAAAAATAAGTTTTCCCAGGACACCATTCCCAAAGTTCCTTAAAATTACTTCCTGAGCTCTTCTGAGTAGGGGTGGGGTACATGTGGGGTCAGCTTTGTTTGAAATAACAAGTTGAACAAAAATAGAAGCTGAATTTATAGAAAATGACCAAGGAAAATATAATTTCAGCTGTGTCCATGCCATATCCCAGTGGTTGATGCCTATAATCTCAACCTCCAGGAGAATGAGGAACAAGGATTGCCGTGATGATAGTGGGTTTCTGATGTAAAGGATAAAGGTCTGATGTATTATCATAGTACTGTGCCAATTGTCTACTGGCCAGTAGAAAGATTATCTTTTCTGACATACTGTAGTCAGGCCTCCTAGTTATACTGCAGTAAACTCAAATCTTCACTTCAGCATTATGTCCACTTCTAGAGTAAAAATTAAGTAGGATTTTAATCTCTCAACAAATTTGGTAACAATGGGATAAGATACGATATATGAATCAAAATGGGAATTATACTGCATTTACAATTTTTAAATTGAGAACTAAACCCACGGCCTTGCTCTGTTTCAATTTTAATCATTAATTCAAAACCCGCTTTTTATGAACATGTAATTTAAGACCTTTTATACTGCCATTATAGTAAATTTTATAGGCTAAACTTTATTTAATAAGCAATTCTTGCAATTTGCTACTGACTGAACACCTGCCTGTGTGATGTTTTGCTTTGAATTTGGAACGCAGTATGCAATGTCCTTGGCCAGGGATACTCCAGCAGTCTTGAATTAGCTGTTTGCTTAGTTATGTCTAATTTTCCTTCTCTGCTTTTTGTTTCTTCATAGTCTCTAAGGCATTCTTTTACATCCGTTGGAGACCCCAGTGTTAAGACTTTCAAGCCACCTTTGTCTTCCCTCCTTTTGAACACAGCTTTCCGTCCAGTAACTTTTTGTAACCATTATCCTTATAAATGTGACTTTTTGTTCATAGGCATCTGTCTAGTTAATGACTAAATACTTAGTTTCTTAATATATATGCCCTAATTTAAATCCCAGATCTACTGCTTAGTAGTCATGTGACCTTAGATACTCACTTACCTTTTTCATACCTAGGTCTCTTCACTATTGACAAAGAAGTTAGAAAAATAAAAATAAGAATTAATACATAGGGTCATTCAGGAGGTTACAAATTAAATAATGTATAAAAGATTAGCATATTGTATTTTACATTCAGTCCATCTTAGTCAATAAACTCTTTGTTTCATAATGTAGCAAAACAGAACAATCCTGTTCTGACCATACATTTTGTTTTCCCTGCATTGTTCTCATGCTAATACAACAAAAAGTTCTTGTGAGCATTTGAATTTGAAAATCTTTTCTCTAATCAAACTTATTTTTAATTCATTATCTTAGTATGTTAATTGGTTGATAGTTTTTGACATGTATATAATGTATTCTGCTTGCTCTCTACTTGTCACGTCTCTCTTTCTACCTATATCAGTGCCCCTTCCCAACCTGTCCCTTGTCAGTGGTGACTGTTGGTGACCCATTTAGTTTAACAAGGGCTGGTGACTGCTGGATTGAGCATTTAAATGCTTTAACATATGATTTTTTGTTCAGTTTATTCTTAACTTTTTTTTCCTCAAGTGATTTAATGCTCTGCAGATGGGTGGGCAGTTATCAATTATAAAGTTAAATAATTTTAGTAGTATTAGTAAATAGTACATGACACCACAGAAAGAACCTAAGTACTCTCCAAGCTTTTTGAGTCTGCTTTTCATCTTTAAAATTCCTATTAGAATGAATAATAGGTTTTTTTTTACTTTAGAATGTTTTTAATAGCAGATATCAACAGTTCTTATTGGATTTTAATAAATGAATACATCGCTCACATGAAAATATGTACAGATGTGTACAAATATGACTAGAAATTTAATCATTTATACTCTTAAGGTAAACCGTTAATTCCTATTATTTGCAGTTTGATAAAATCATTTACATTGCAAGAATAATGTAAAATGAAAATATCAGAAAAGCATGCACTACAAATCAAAAAATGATTAATATGTAAAATCAAGGAACTGAAAATGAATCATATGTCTTACAGAAAACTACTTAGGATAACATGGCAAATCAGAGATAAATGTCAATTACTTAAAAAGTAGGATAACGTATAGGAGTTTGATCGTATATGTGCCTTCTGTGAGGGTCAAGTTAAAAATATATAGAACCTGGGACTGGAGAAATAGGTCAGTGGTTAAGTGCACGCTCTTCCAGAAGACCCAGCCTTAATTCCCAGCATCCATGTGGTAGCTTATAGCCATCTATACCTCCAGTTGCAGAGGATCTGACTCCCTCTTCTGTCTTTCTTAGGCAAAAGGCACATACTTGTGCACATATATACATGCAGTCAAACCACCCATAGACATAGAATGAGTAAAATCTTAATAGATAGGTAAACAGACAGTGATGTGGGGACTGGTGGGCTACTTCTCAGGAAGCAGTTGAATTCTTAATGTGGTAGCAGTTGATACTTTGCAGACATTAAGTCATTTATTCTTCTAAACAACTCATTAAATCCCTTTATTGTTCAAGTAATTTTGTTGATAGTGAGGTGAATTTTTTGAGTATGTAACCTGAGTTATTTTGTAGCATATTAATAATCCTTTAGATAAAATAATATATTCATTTAGAACTTCCCATTACAATACAAATTAATATTCTAGTTCATTTTTTTCAGATTCATTAGCCATGCTTTTTTCTCTTCTTATATTATTCATGTGTGATCCAGGAAAACAGTAAGCATTAATAGAATACCTTTCATATTCATCATTAATGAAACTTCCTGCTGGTTATGTAGCCAGTAAGTAAGGAAGCTGTATCATTGAGATAGCTGTCTCTAGGGACCATGAACTTAATACTACATTGAACCAATAATATAGTACATAGATAGTATAAGTATGACTAGAAATTTAATCATTTATACTCTTAGGGTAAACCGTTAATTCCTATTATTTGCAGTTTGATAAAATCATTTACATTGCAATATAATCTTTGTTTGCTGTTTAGTATTCTTAAGCTGGCATACATTGTTGAAGGTTCTTGTGTAACATATAGCATGTGTATAATTTTTGTTACTACATTTACTTGGCTTCATATTATTGAGCAGCCTTGTAAAAAGTCTCTTTATCATTCTTTTCTTTCTTTATTTGAAAGACCCCATCATATTCTTCAGGTAGATTCTGTGCTCACTAATAGATTTATTTACTCTCTGGGACAGACTCTAAACAAAAAGTCAACCCCAACACTACCAAGTACAAGCAAGTACTTAGATATACACAGCACAGGTATAGCATACAAAGTATTTGTCTTAGTTGCTTTTCTGTTGCTGTTGTGAGACACCATGACCAAACCAACTTATAAAAGAAAGTGTCTAATTGGGCTTAAAGTCAGAAGATTAGAGTCCCATGATAGCAGAGCAAAAGTATGGTGTTAAGAACAGCTAGCTAAGAGGTCACACCTTAGTCCACAAGCAGGAGGCAGAGACCACCACTCCTTTGAAACCTCAGATCTCCCCAATGACACATTTCCATAGGGCCACCCCATTTAATCCCTCCCAGATTATTTCACCATCTGGGTATCATGCAGACAAATTTGAGCCTACGAGCGTCATTCTAATTCAAACCACCACAATTTTTTGATGTTATCAGCACAGCTGCAGGCTTTCATAAAACTGGCATAAACAGTAAAGTACATTTCATTCCCTGATCAGACACTTCCAAATAACCTGTATTTTTTTATCTTTTCTGAGTTCAACATAGTCCCAATCTCTTAGCTTTAATCTCCAAGATGGCCTGATTATTTAAATTCGGAGAACAGTCTATCTCTTAGTGGTTGTTACCCCAAAAATGTAGGTTTGGCTTTTTTGACTTGTGTGGCTCAGTTTTTGGATATTATATTCCCTTGTCCCTTTTACAACATTGTTGTAATAGGAGTGGCGGGGCTGCATCCTCGGCACCCGGCTGCCCGCATGGCTAGTTTATGCCCTGAAATAATTACACAGAAACTGTATTCTTTTGAACACTGCCTGGCCCATTAGTTCCAGCCTCTTATTGGCTAGCTCTTACATATTGATCTAACCCATTTCTAATAATCTGTGTAGCCCATGAGGTGGCTTACCAGGGAAGATCTTAACCTCCGTCTGTCTGGAGTGGGAGAATCATGGTGACTCTCCGACTCAGCTTCTTTCTCCCAGCATTCTGTTCTGTCTACTCCACCTACCTAATTTTCTGTCCTATCAGAGGCCAAGCAATTTCTTTATTACTTAACCAATGAAACAACAGATAGAAAGATGACCCTCCTCCATCACAACATGAGTCTGATATTATAGATTTCTCCACAGCCATACAAAGTCATTGGTGTCTGTGGGCCTCTTATTGTGTTCCCTGTTTTTAATGTATATTTTTGAAACCTAAAGCCTTGAATTTGTATGTTATAAAATTTCAGTTATTGGTGCGTCAGGGACCTCCTTGAGAACAGACCCAAGCAAGGGACATCTGTGGGAACAGGACTGAGGCAGCGAAGTCTGCCAGAGCAGGCCTGAGCTAGTGACTTTCATTGGAGCAGGCCCAAGGTGGCTATCCCCCACAGGAGCAGGCCTAAGGCAGCGACCACTACAGCAGAAGGCCTGAGCTAGAGATCTCTGCCCGAGCCGGCCTGAGCCAGTGACTTTCATTGGAGCAGGCCCAAGGCCGCTACCCTGATAGGAGCCTGACCAAGGCAGCGACCACTACCAGAAGCAGAGGCAGGTACAAGGGAGCAACCACTGAGGGAACAAGCCCAAG